GGGGGGAGGGGTCAGCTCTCGCTGCTGCTTGCACCACAGGAGGGCAGCGGGGGTGGGTCAGGGGAGTGCGCCCCCAGATCTGCATAGCATGGGGCAGGCTGCAGCTGCAGGGTGGAACCAGCCTGTACAGCTATTCTCACCGGAGGCTGGGCTTGGACTGGGTTCCAGTGGTGCTGGGAGGAGGCTGCAGTCACCCAAAATTTCGCCGCACCTCTGCTCCCAGTCCCTTGCTGTTGCCTGGCGCAGCCGCTGCTCAACACCCCGCTTCCACCCAAGCACCAGAAAAAGCTGTGGCTGTGCCGGGTGGCAGTGTGGGTCTGTGGCGAAACTTGGGGTGGCTGCAGCCTCCTCCTAGCGTTGCTGGAGCCCACTCTGAGCCCAGCCTCCGGTGAAGAGCCCTGCACAGCGCTGGCTCCACCTTGCAGCTGCAGTCTGTCCCATGCCATGCAGATCTGGGGGCATGTACCCCTTCCCCCCACCCTCTCACAATGTAAGCAGAGGCAGGAGCCGCTCTCCCCCCACGCCTGTCCTCCCCCCACCCCAGCTGGGCAGCACCTGCCCCTTTCCTCACCACAGAGGGCATTGATCTTCCCCCATGACCCTTCCCTCTCCCCTCCCAGCACCACAACAGACTTACCAGCTGATGGCAGCTGTACTGGATATTGGATCAGTATTGGCCCCCAAGATCTCTGTTCGTGCACCCCTAGATGCTACCTTTGTTCACCACCCTGATTCCAAATCCAACTCACAGAAATGTCATCCAAGGCTCCAGAGAAGTCAAAGCCGCAGGTCTTGGGATCATAGTAGCGATAGGCCTGCAGCTGCAAGCCTGCATCTCTGAAAATGGGGGTGTGGTTTCCCCAGGACGGTTTGGGCAGGTACACATCATGGCTAGACTTGAAGAATCGTTGCTATGGCAGAGAAAGAAAATGTGTTGAAGTGGGAGATTCAGGGTCCCAGGGCCCTAAACGTGCTGCAACCCAATATGTCTCCTCTCATCACCTCCTAGGGACTTACCAGGAAATTGGCTCCAATTCTCAGAGACCCAGTCCCAGAAATACTCTGCACAGTGACATACTGCAAAGAAAGAAAGGTACAAACATGTAAGACACTGACCTACCACACATGGCATCAACCAGGTTGAACAGATACTGACATCTTAAGTGCTTCCTGGGCAAAGAGCAGAGAAGTATCCAGTTCATGTGTTAACTCATCACTAGGAATCCAGGTGTTCCAATTCCAATGGAAAAATGTAGATTTTCCCCTTCAAAGGAGAACAGCATGGGAAGCTACAGGTTCTCCCTTGCAGGCTGGCAGCCTTCCAACCTGCAAGGAGCTGTTTGGGGTTGGGGGAGAGCAACTGGAAGCAGAAGGTGCCATGTGTATGCATATGCATGCACACGTGGCTGGCATACAGCCAAGCAGTGTGGTTGGAGCAGCCCTGGGAGCTAGATACAGAAAGTCTGGGGTGGGGGAGGAGGGCAGGAAGGTCAGGGCTTAGGGACTGTCCAGGGGCCTGAGGAGAGGAGCACCTCAGTAGAGGGCTTGAGGAAAGGCAAGTGCCTGGTGGTGCTGGGGGAAGGTGTCTAGGCGCCAGGGCTGTGGCAAGTCAGGGGGTTCCAAGGCAGCACTTGGTGCTACTGGCAAGCCCAGCACTGTGCTGTTGGCAGCAGGACCCTCCCAGAGGTGCCGTGCCTGCCCCTCCAGCAGGGGAAGGGGGTATGGGTATCCTTCAGGGTTAGCAGGAAGCTGTGTGGCTGGGCCAGCAGTGCCCAGGGCTGCTGCCTGTGCTTTCAGCAGCAGAGAGGGTGGTGGGGAGACCCTGCCCAGGGGGCCATGGTCAGGCCTCCTAGTACAGCACAGGAGCCCCAGCTTGGAGGAACACAGGGGCCCCAGCCTGGAGCAGGGGGTGCCACAGGCATCCCCTCCTTCCTCCAGCCCACACCAGTGCCAGACTTGCTCCACTGCTGCCTCCATGCACCAGAACCACTGCAGCCACCATGCTGTGGTCCTGATAGGATGGAGACCATCTGGAGCCCCCCTCACCATTCTCCTATTGCCTGTGGCACACGGCAGCATGTGGTGCCCCAGCCGCTGCCTGTGCTTCTGCATGAGGTGCACTGCATACACCTCATGCTGAAGGTCCCTGAATAGCACCATTCTGTGAGACCATGCGGGGGTAGCTGGGGGCCCCAGGAGGCTCTGAGTTGGTAGTGAGGGGCACCAGCAGGGCTGGAAGGTATAGGGGTTATAGGTTGGCAGTGAGGGGCACAAGCAAGGTTGGAGGGTTGCGGGGGAAGATAGTGTGGGTCATGAATGAGAGGCACTAGCGGGGCTAAGGGCTGCAGGTCAGGAGTGAGGGGTATTGGTGGGGATAGGGGGCTGTAGGTCAGGAGAGAGGGGCACCAGCATGGCTGGGGGAAGTGGGGTGGGAGGGAAGACTGTGGATGGGGAGTGGAGGGCAATGGCAGGGGCAGAGCAATGGCATATCAGGGCTGCTCAGTGTCACAAAGCAGTGCAGGGGACAGCTACAGCTGGATCCATGTCCTGGTGACTGAAGGGGGCAGGGAGAACTCTGATTTTCCCTTATAAAAAAAAATCAGAAAATCAAATGCAAAAATATATAGGTACTTAAAATTTATTTTAGTATAATGATTTAGGCGCTGATAAGCTTCCAAACTGCTTTAACATTGTAAATATATTAATAAAACGCTGTGTTCAACTAATACCGATATACAGATGCATTTCTTTTTATCGTGGAAAAATGCAGATTTGGGTTTGTTTGTTTTTTAAAAATCAAAGAATTTAGGAATTGTTTTTGTTTTGTGTTTTTTTTTGTTTTTTTTTAAATCGGAGAAAACCTGCTCATTGCTACCTATGCAAGACAAAATACTAGTTAGTGCACAAAGCACATTTAGTTGAGACCACAGATCTTTTAGTCAGTGGTTGGCAATCTTTATGAATGATAGGCCAGAGCCCATGAAGTGACTACTGCTGTAGGCTAATGGCCTGCTGTTGCCCCGCCACTCCTGTGCCCCTCACCAGTTTCCACTTAGATTCCCATGGCCAGCAGCCATGCCAAGGTGCAAATTCAACAGTGAGGGTCAAGAGTGCCCAGGACTGGGTTGTCAGTAGAGGCTCTGCATGAGAGGTAGAGCACAGCACAAGAATACACCAAGGCAAACAGCACAGAACAGACAGAAGGAACTTGTCAGTGCCCCCTCAGCGGCCCACACCACAGACCAATCACCTTAGCTGCTGCAGGCTGGATCCAGAGGCTGGCCTGAGGACTACAGATTGCCAACTCCTGTTTTTGTCCATTTTAAATTCTCACTTCCAATACAGCTTTAGGATAAAGAGAATTAGCTATACAAGAACATATGATCATGTTGACCAAATACTGTATTCTAACAGCCTGGGAAGCCAGAACTGCTGACTTCAAAATCCAGCCCAGACAATGGAACAATAGCTCTTTGTGATGCTGGATACTGCAGGAGAGCTCAACCACTGCCACCACAGGGACCAGAACTCAGCCACTGCTAACCAGAGCAGGACTTGATAAGCCAGGAAGCTCCTCCCCACTTTGCCACTGGCTTGTGCATGAGTCACTTTCATTTCACTATGCCTTTGTTCCTTCCTCTGAAGATGGGGAAGGACTATATTAAACTCCTTTGAGACCTACTGATGAGATCCCACAGAGGTAATTCCCTTTGCTGTTTAAAAGGGAAATGCATCTGTCATGTGAATATAGAATTGTTTACCAACAAGCACCACAATGACAGGTACAACATATTAGAATGAACAATCGTACAATGGGGGCTGCTCTAACATTTTCCATGTAGCTCCTTACCCGGCCATTCTGGATAACTTCACTGGTTTCACCCAGTGCCAGCTCTGCTGATGCCTTATTGAACTCTGCCAACCCTGCAATCGGCAAGTATTCTTTGTCCATCTTCTTAGCAGCGATCTGGGCCTCTGCCTACGGAGAGGAACACATCTTCAAATGTCACTATTGTACAGGACCCATAGGCACTTCCAAAAGCTGGGGTCAGGTGAAAGAAAAGAAAGTTTCCTTTGCTTTCCACTCACTGAGATGGTATGATAACTCAGTTAAACAGGAAGTATCCCTCAGAGGTTAGGGCTCCATCCAAAGTCAAAGCCAAAAACACCAATAAATGTTTCTGTTGACAGCTTTCTCCTGGAGTAAGGGCAAAGTTTACAACTAGCCTGATGCACAGCATTGAGCCTCTAACTCTAGCATTGCTTCAGTGGAGCAACTAGCGACCTAGCGAATGCTATGAGCCAGATACAAGAAGCAACGTGCTCAATGCCTACTAGCTGCAAGTGCCCACAAGCAGCTACCTGTTCCTTCTGCTAGCTGCAACCGAACCATTCTGCAGAAAGGGAGAACAACTCATTTACAAAAGAGCAAAGTTTCTGTATGTGCAAATCTGGCCCATGCCCCTCAGTACTGTAGTAATAAGCCTATCATGCCAGCTCAGATATAAGCCTATACTATGCTAGAAAAATTACAAGACTAGTTGCATCATTCTAGAAAATGGCTGGAGCTATAGTACAAAAGAGGCCCTCCTGTAAGTCAGGTTTGCGGCTCTGGTCAGGCCGCAGTTGGAGTACTGCATCCAGTTCTGGGTGCCACACTTCAGGAGGGATGTGGACAGCATGGAGAGGGTCCAGAGGAGGGCCACCCGCATGATCAGGAGGCAGCAGGGCAGACCCTACGAGGAGAGGCTATGGGACCTGAACCTGTTCAGCCTCCACAAGAGAAGGCTGAGGGGGGATCTTGTGGCCACCTACAAACTAGTCAGGGGAGACCAGCAGGCATTGGGGGAGTCTCTGTCCCTGCACCCCACCTCCCGAGTACTACCAGGAGTGACTAGAAATAACGGTCACAAGCTGGCAGAGGGTAGATTCAGACTAGACATCAGGAGGTGCTACTTCACTGTCAGGGTGGCTAGGATCTGGAACCAACTTCCAAGAGAAGTGGTGCTGACTCCTACCCTGGGGGTCTTTAAGAGGAGGCTGGATAAACACCTGGCCGGGGTCGTTTGACCCCAGTACTCTTTCCTGCCAAGGCAGGGGGTTGGACTTGATCTGCTCAGTTGCTTTCCGACCCTACCAACTACGAAACCAAGTCATTTAGATCTCCAAAATTTTAACTAAGTTAACTAGTGATAAAATTGGCTTAAACTGCCATGGCCTTATCTACACTGAGCTGCCAACTGCCATCAAAACTGGTGCAGACCAGAGAAGGATTCCTTAGGAGACAAGGCTGTAGGTGAGAAAATCTAAACTACTCATGCAACTCAGCTCAGACTGTGGTAGCAGGACCAGTGGCTGCTGGACACACATTCCTCTCTATACATTCACCCTGCCTACTTCAGCCAGCCAAGAAATACTGGCAACATGTCCACAGTCCACAGCCTATTAATAGTTATCAGAGTATTTGGGAGGATAAATATATCCTTAGTCCCAGAACACAGGAATAGCATTTGCCATGGCCTAAATGCCTAGAGAAAGCTGTCCTCTCTTAAAAAGGTCACATAAAGGGGCAGGCCACTGTTAAGAGCTAGGGCCTAGCTGGTTCAGACCTAGCTGGGAAGTGACTCTCCAAGAAAAAGCTGACCACACAGCTGGAGAGCACTAGGACCCTGCTGCAGGACCTAGAAGCAAGGGGTTAAAAAGAAAGAGCCTCCAGAGCTGAAGCCCAGGACACACAAAAGAACTGTTTTGTTGAATGTGCCCTGAAAACCAAAAACTGCTGCGAAAGACTTGAGTATAAAAGAAGAGTCGCTGTAGAGCTGGAAAAACAGGCAGAGTGGCCTGATACAGGCAGCTGGCTAATCAGAGACTGATTTTAGCAAGTAATAGAAGTACAGAGCTGTAAGGCTCCAGGTAAATAATCCCACCTTCACCATAATCCCTCTGCACTTCACACTGGATTAGAGAGAAGCCAGTAAGGGAGACTCAGCATAATTTCCCAGACTGCCCCCAGCTACCACATATGCATGTATTTTAGTCTCTGCACCCAAAAGGTATCCCTGCTCAGCAGCAGGCTTACTTTGCGGATGCAGTTCAAGACGTAGGGCTTCCCGTTATCATCCCGGTAGGCTCCAACACCCAGGTTCATCTTCTTAGCGTTGGTGTCACGCTTGAAAGCTTCTGTCACCCCCAGAATAGGATCAGGGGGTCCCATCTCTACATGAGACCACCAGGAGCTGCAATGAAGACCAAAAGGAAGCCTAATTATGAACGGAGCTCTTTATTCACATCTATTAAAAGGCTGTTTGTTACAGCCTGGCTTATTGGCTCACCTACAACAGGAGCCGCAAGATCCCAGGCCAAAACATTTTTTTTTGTAGACAAAAACTGTAATTTCCCTCCCAGGAAGGTATAGTTCAGGAACAGTGCTTGTTTCTCAGTTTTGCCAGTTTCAAATAATTGGGAGGTCTCCCACTGCCCATGCAATCCCTCTCCTGGCTCTGTTGTAGAAGATTAGAGCATGGTGTAAGTCGGATGGAATTTTCTAAGGCAGTCTGAAATTCAGTGACTTGAGCCACTGAACATCCCAGCCTACAACTGCTGGTGTTGATGATGTTAGTTTTAAATGCAAACTGATCCAGTATCTCAAGGCACAGCATATTGATCCTTGGTCCATCCAAAACTAGCATAAATTCCAGTATATCAGCTCTAAGCCGTTTGGGACAGAGCCAGGCTCTCAACTGTACCTGAAAAAGAGTTGGTATGAACATGGACCTACCCCATATCAATTTATCATTACAGAGCTAATAAACAAGTGCAGGATTGTTGCATAAGCTAGGCATCTCAAAGTTTGACAACTTCAGTCTGACATTAAAAGCCAAGCAGCTGTATTTCTGTCCACCAAGGTGCATATCCTTCCCCCCCCTTAAAGTGGTTTATAGGGACCAAAAGAGGTAAGAGCACCGTTAACGGGAAGAACCATATTAAACAATTTATGCTCCATTAGATACTCAGCTCACTAGTCTCCTGGACCCACATTTAGACTCCACCAATTAACAAGCAAACAGCACCAGCTCAATGCAGTGGAAAGCATTCTAGCTTCTCTCTAGAAAGCTACAGAAGGCTGATTTTCATGCATGTCAAACACTAAAAACGCTGCTGGAGTTGGTGGGAACTCTGGCTGCTACAGCAGCAGTGAGACCCTTAGAGAACAGTTACAGCTTTATGTTGTGCTAAATTCATCTTTAATCACAGTAGTCTTAGGCTGCAAGCTCCTTAGCACAAGGACCATCCCTATTTCGATGCACAAGATACCTAGTACACAAGGTCCCAAATTCTGACAACAACTGTACCTTGGCAGCTCCCAGGCTTCCCCCCACCCCACACACACCAGGCAAGCCTCCTCACCTCCCAGCATACCAGAGAGTTCGCAACCCCAAATACTATAATTTCTCTTGGAGTTTTGTTTGTTTAAAATCTGCTGCTCTGACACAAGCTTTTGAAGCTAGAATTCAAACCCTCTTCATAAGTAGAGGCCATGGAACTAGGAAAAGTCTTCAGCTCAGGGTAATCAAACAAAGCCCAAAGTCACTTTCAGGTCAGTGTGCTGTGAAAGATCTGCATTTCACAGCACAGAGTCACTTTGAGGTCCGTGTTTCACCGCAGGAAACAGTTTTTTAAAGCACTTGCTTCCAGATGTGTTACACTGGCCTTCAGTCTTTGTTGATGCATCACTGGTAGATACTTGACCAATCTGCATGTGGCCATGGAGAGCAAGTCAGCTTGCTGACACAATCCCTGTCTACCAGGGAGTTTGGATTTGAGGTGGGTGGTCTGCTCCTGCTCGCTATACTCCAGTAAGGAGGTCAGATGTGTTTCAACGGGAAGTCAAGAGGCAGAGGCACCTCCAGGGCCATCCTTTCTAGCCACCTGCTCTTGTCCCGTCTGCAGCACTGTCACTCCAAGGAGCGAGAGGTCCTCCTAATTAATGTCAAGGATGCAACAAGTCAGACTATAAGAAGCCTCATTATTTTCTGTTTGGACTCAGTTTCTCCAGTAGGTGGCATAAGAGAAGACCTGGAGCTTTTAATCTGTCCCTTTGATTTGATGAGCAGCTAGATCTTTAATGAGAGTCCTCATCATGAACAATGGGAGTACTAAATATAGCTCCAAGACAAAGGACAGCAGTCTTACATAGCATATGGATATTCTGACAGTACACGATTGTGCCTTAACATGAATGTGTACATTTACCCCCATGTGGGATCTGGGGAGTAGCAGGATTTTGAAGGTAAGGGCTAAGAAAATTTTCCGCCATGCAATGCTCATCTCCTGCGCACCTTAGAGCTGAAAAGAGAAAAGCAAAGTGATACTGTTCTCCTTGTTAAAGTAAAAGAACAAAGGGTTGTCAAACACTGATAAGTCAGGCAGAAGGCAGGACAGAAAGGCACCTTGCAGACTAATTAAGAGAAGTTTCAGCAAAGCCTAAGTCAGTTTACACCAAGCTTTACCAAAGCAGATAAGTTCTTTGGGCTAGGAAAACTACCTCACCTAGATAAGACAGCTTTCTTGGCCATACATAAACTGATATCCTGGGAAAGAGGCCTGGACTCAAAAAAGGAGGCGGGGGCAAGTGCCCTATAAAGCACATACAGTGACTAATCAGTGCTCTGCAGTTAAGCATTTAAGTTTTATAATGCTGTGACAGACAAGTTACAGTATGGGCAGCCAGGTGTAAAGGGCAGCAAAGATCTATTACTGCAGTGGTTCTCAATGTTCTTTGGGTAGATGTGATATCTCTCATTAGACCAGCTGAGTAGTCTGGAAAAAGTTCTTTGCAAGCTTTTGGGCGCAATCATCCTTCTTCAGGCATAGGGAGTCTCTGCTGTTCTGAGACTTCAAGGATTGAAAGAAGTTAAGAGTGTGACAGGATGTCAATAAGAACATAAATAGGTGGAAATTAGGAAAACAAAGAGGAAGGGAAGGCAGGGGGGAAAAAAGCCAAAGGTAAGTAAGGGAAACTCTACTGTAGTAGTTTTCCAAGGTAGAAAAGAGGCTGCCTGTAAAAAAGTAAACAGCTGGAAATTAGTAAGCCAAAGGGTAGAAAAGGAGGGGAAGGGAGGAAGAGGGGGAAAGAAGAAGCAGAGCACCCTCTACAACCTCTCTGAACTTGGCAGGACTCCTGGTTGAGAACCACTGTTGTGATGCCTCTACTTACTTCAGTGCTTCTCAGCCAGGGTCCTACCCCATGCTCTTGCCCATACTAGGGTTCTCTGTAGAGGTCCACTGATATATCAGTCCATATTAGATCAGCACCGATAAAAGCAAAATTGACATTATTGGCAATTGGCTTTTTTTTGGTCAGTGTAGCCATGCACACGGCTAGGAATGCAGCCAAGCAGCTTGGAGACCAGCGTGTGGCTGGTAAGTCTGGGGGGAGGGGCACTGGTGGGGGTACACTGAGGCACCCATAGTGAAGGAGGGAGTGGGGCTGGGGCA